GAAAAAAGATACATCTGCCGAGAAAACAGCGAACGAAAAAGAGGGCGAATAAAACGGAAAATTTTTGTGAAGTGGGGGAGATGAAAACGAGAGGCAAATGGCAAATAATGTAAATTGCAAGGAGATGAGATTTGTGATTAGGAACCTGGCAGATGTTGATGATGTCTCCCTGGCAATGGCGCCAGAAATTCCTTTTGATGCGGCTTGAACTACGTCGGTATTTCCCCAAAGAGGAAGGGATGATGCAGCACAACTACGGTCGGTATTTCCCTCAGTGATGAGACCAAGGTTATCGAACCAGTAGGAGAACCACGCAACACTGCGTGAACGGTACCTGCACACAAAGAACAAATACATGCAACCCGACGTAAAAGAGGGGTTGTCAATCCCTCCCGGGTAAAAAGATAGATAAAATTGTAGTAGATTGGAAAAATAGATGTCGTGGAAACGCTAGATGAAATAAATAATAATAAATTGCAGCAAGGTATTTTTGGGTTTTTGGATTAATAGATCTGAAAATAAAAGTGAATAAAAATAGATCTCGAAGGAAAATATGATAAAGAAGAGACGCTGGGGCCGTAGATTTCACTAGTGGTTTCTCTCGAGAAAAATAGCATACGGTGGGTAAACAAATTACTGTTGGGCAATTGATAGAACTTCAAATAATGATGACGATATCCAGGCAATGATCATTATATAGGCATCACGTCTAAGATTAGTAGACCGACTCCTACCTGCATCTACTACTATTACTCCACACATCGACCGCTATCCAGCATACATCTAGCATATTAAGTTCATGAAGAAACGGCGTAATGCAATAAGAACGATGGCATGATGTAGACAAGATCTATTCATGTAGGAATAGACCCCATCTTTTTATCCTTAATAGCAACGATACATACGTGTCATTTCCCCTTCTGTCACTGGGATTGAGCACCGTAAGATCAAACCCATCACAAAGCACCTCTTCCCATGGCAAGAAAAATCGATCTAGTCGGCCTAATTAAACCAAAGATTCGAAGAACAAATACGAGGCTATAAGTAATCATGCATATAAGAGATCAAAAGACTCAAATAATTTTTATGGATAAAAACATAGATCTGATCATAAACTCAAAGTTTATCGGATCCCAACAAACACATCATAAAAAGAGTTACATCAAATAGATCTCCAAGAGACCATTGTATTGAGAATCAAAAGAGAGAGAGAAAGCCATCTAGCTACTAACTACGGACCCGTAGGTCTACAATGAACTACTCACGCATCATCGGAGAGGCACCAATGAGGATGATGAACCCCTCCGTGATGGTGTCTAGATTGGATCTGTGGTTTCTGGAACTTGCGGCGGCTGGATTGTGTTTCGTCGACTCCCCTAGCGTTTTTGGAATATTGGGGTATTTATAGAGCAAAGAGGCGGTGCGGGAGGCCACGAAGGTGGGCACGACCCACCGGGGCGCGCCTGGGCCCCCAGGCGCGCCCAGGTGGGTTATGCCCCCCTCGGGGCACCCCTCTAGTACTTCTTTGGCCCATCTTGTGTCTTCTGGCCCAGAAAATTCTCCAAAAAATTTCGTTGTGTTCGGACTCCGTTTGCTATTGATTTTCTGCGAAATAAAAAACAGCAACTGGCCTGGGCACTATGTCAATAGATTAGTCCCAAAAAATGATATAAAGTTGCTACAAAATGATTGTAAAAAATTCAAGAATGATAATATAACAGCATGGAACAATCAAAAATTATAGATACGTTGGAGACGTATCATTATGACATCACAACGGTCCTCCGGCAACAATGCCGCACCACTCTGGGTCAACAGTGGTCTGTGGGATCTACAATAGTTCAATATAGCAGATACAGTGCTCAAATCCCAAATCAAATCGGTGAAAACAAAGCTCAAATCGAAGAAAAACCTAACCCTAACCCTAATTCACGGAGAAATGATACTCACGTAGGTTTCGTCCGCGTGCGAGTTGAAGAGGGGGGACACAGAGTCATCGCTGCTAGTTTCGGCGTCATTCCAGGAGACCATGGTTGCGGCGGCCGGCGGCGGATGCGTTGGCGCACGCGTTGGAGGTAGAGACCTAGGCGAGAGAGAGAGAGAGAAAGAGAGAGAGAGAGAGAGAGAAAGAGAGAGAGAGAAAGAGAGAGAGAGAGAGAGAAAGAGAGAGAGAGAAAGAGAGAGAGAGAGAGAGAGGGGGGGGGAATGGATGAACGGGTTGGGCTGGACCGGCTCGTTAGGTTTCTAACGGCACGTCACGGACGCCGTCTCCCCCTGTCCACGTGGCGCCTGACAGCAGGCCAAAGTGGTCAGTTTTTCACTCAGACGCGCAGACCGTTCAATCAACATTATTTGAAAACTGTCAACCCAAACGTGGTGTTTTTCTGAAGAAAAAAAAATGAAACGTGGTTGTTTTCTGTTTTAGGGTCCCCAATTTGGTGAGCATTTGCAATTTACTTGGAGCAGCATCATGAGGGGCGGGGCACAAGATGAGCGATTCTACTGGCCTTGCGCGGCTCTCGGATGGACCCTCCAGAGCGTGCGTGAGATCATACATGGCAGCAAAAATCGAGGCCTCCTCATCGAATTGAATCCAGTCTTAAAGGGCATCAAGGTCGCTCACAACCGGGATCGAAGACAAGAGAGGGTTCGTTTTCAACAAGCTCGAGATTTAAATCCAACTTCACTCCTTCAATTGATGATAGGGTTCGCCGGTGTTCCCTCCCCGCGCTGGCTTGGACGCCCCAGGCTCCCAAGCCAAATATTTGGCATCGACTGAGTACGCGCACGGGGTTTGGATCAAAGCATATTATTTGGCCACAAAAATGCTAAATATTTCGGTTCAATTATTTGCCAACGATCGGCCAGGGCGCGGGCGCCAATAGGCTCGCCAACGTTGGCGTGGGCAATATCCAGACAGACTCATTGCGCCTGGAGCAACCGTTTTCCATTTGCTCTTCGATCGGTCAAGATACTTAGCCCAGGTACTGAAGAATAAATAATCTTGGAAGGACCCGGTTTCATCAGTCTCAAAAGGAATCAGCCTTCCAACCACTGTGAGATTGCTACTCCAAATGTTTATAAAGATCTAACAAACTCAGCATAGCTTCAACGCGATCTCAATTTCATGTAACATTGCATCAGCCATTCAGTATCCATGAAAAAAACAGCAACAACAACAACCAAACTCTCTCTGACTGATAAAAGTAACGACAACAAAATTTACAAAAGGTCATTTGCACTCCTTGTCTGTCTGCTTGCCAACCATCTCTACATCCAAAAAGGCACCTCGACTCGGACTAACAGGAGGAGCAACCTGTCTATACTCCTTGCAAAACGCCTATAGAAAAACACAGAGGAAACCAGGATCAGTACTATGTCAAAGCAAATATCACTTGGAACCTAGAAACGCAGGGATCAAAGGCACCTTGCTCTCCTCCCCCCGCGTCGCCTCCCCGAGCGGGGCGACCGGGGGCTCTCGTCGCCCCTCCCAGCCCCCCCTCCCCCTCCTCCCCTTCCGCCGCCGTCGGCCTGGGCCACCGAGCCTTACCCGCGTGGTGCCGGCGGCGGCGGCCCCGGCCTTTCCCCCTCGCATGGCGCCTCGGCTCGGGCGGACGGCGGCCGACGGGGGTGCTCCTCGGCGACAATGGATCCGGTGGCGGCGCGGCTCCCTGGGCGGCGCCGTGCTGGGTGGCGTGCGGGCGGTGGCGCGGCCGCTTGGCGGCGGGGCGACGCGGTGGCTAGCGGCGGGCCTTCCCGGCCCAGATCTGGGCCCTTTTGGGCTCGATCTGGGTCTGTGCGGGCCTGGCCTGGTCTGCTTGCAGCGTCTCCGGTAGGTCGGGGGCGTGACTCGTGCGAGGGGTGGTAGCGACGGTGGCTCGCGTTCTGCAGCGCGGCGACGGGGGCTTCGCGAGCCCGTTTCGGGCTCGACTGGGCCGGGGTGGCCCAGTTTGCCCCTGTGCTGCGTCCGGCCGGATCCCGCCGGGGGCGGTGGAGGATGTCCCCTCCCGCGAGGCTGCTGATGTTGCCGCTCCTGGTTCCCGGTTGCGTCGTCTTGTTTCCGTTGGTCCCGTTTCGTTTGCCATGGTGAGACGGCGATGGAGACTGCTCGACCGTGGTGGCGCAAGTTGGTGGGCGGTGTGTTTGGTGGCGCGCGATGGATCGTCTAGGATCGTGGTTGGTTGGGGTCAGGAGAAATCCTTGTCGGCAGGGCCGGCACCGACACGGTGACGCTCGTGGGCGCCGCCGTGCCTTCCTGAAGTGTCGGGCTTACCCCTTCCACCTCACCCCTCGCGTACCGAGGGAAACCCTAGGACATGTCCGGGCAACAGCGTCGTCATCATCGCGATCCTTCTTGAGGGTGTTGTTTGGTATGCGGCGGTCCGAAGTGCTAGGAGCGTGGTGGTTATCCGCTGGGCGCGGCGGTTGCGGGTCCTCATCGTTTTCGTTGATCCATCGTTGTTGGCATTCTTTTCTCTTCAATTTATTTTTCTGTTTCTTTTGGGCTTGCTTGTGCTGAGGCCCGAGCATTTGTATGGTGTGGTCGTTGCTTTATAATCTAAATCTAAAGCGGGGGGCAGCCCTTTTTCGGTAACCTAGAAACGCAGGCAACCATCAAATAAAATAGACATACCCCTCCACCATTATAGAAAAAAAAAGATTAGCAACTACTACAGATTCAGTACCACACAAGCAAAAGAAACCATAAAAAAGGAGATGCCATCACAAGAAGCAATATCAAATACTACAGAAGGCACCAAACCCACATCCCCAACCTGGCCTTGCAGTTAGAAGGCGAGACAGGTGTACTCTACAGCACATTATGTCAAAAAACAGAACACGAATGAGATAGGTGTACAACACATTATATCAAAATCGTGTTAATATTCAGCCTTGCAGAAAATTGTTCCTAGGTATTGAAATTACTGCCACAAGAAGCATAAGCATAACCGACCTCGCTTTCACACCACAAAGGTGAAAACATTCTTCATTGCCTTCTTCTAGAAGGCTTCCCCTGCACATCAGACAACATCAGCAATATGAACTTCTAAGCAGAACTTATTCAACCATAGACAGCAAACCCTACCTGCGAGCAACCTACGTAGGGCAAGACACAACTCTGGCTGCTCCTTCTGGACAGCCACATCCACCGACATTCGCTTGTCTTTATCATCTTTAATGTCCTTCTAGAAGAAGAATCAGATGAAAACATCTTGTTAATCACTTTGTTTTTTGATCGTGCTACGGCGGGCTTACGCCAGCCTGAACCATTTTCATTATAGATAAGATTGAGATACAACACGACGGTTACAACAGATATCACCCGACACATAGGAGAAGGAACCAGGAACAACAGAATAGAAGATAGACAGAATAGAAGGAACCAGGAACAAACATCTTGTTAATTACTTTGTTTCAATCAATTAATGTACTCAGGTTTTGTTGCTCACCTCTATTTTGTCCTGGTGAGTGTAAGCTCCGCTCATACACTGTACATTGTGAATTGGATCTTGTCCATTGTAATGATACTGTTTCAGAACTTCTGGACCTGGATTAACTCCCTTGTGTTTATCTCTTACCGCAACTTCTTCACGGTAGTCGTTCATGGCCTTTACGAGTCCAAAATGCTTACTGTCCCATGGTAGTGGCCACGCGTGGTTCTTCACCCTTGTAACATATCATCTAGTGTACCCTTTTTTATACTCGGAAGACAGTTACTATACAAAAGAAAAACGGGTCAGTGAAAAGAAAAATACATCAGAATCCCAAGGATGCGATTTAGGACGTACATGCTTGTTAATGCCATCAATTTTGATGCCAGATGGTCAATTATGGAGCACGAGGCAGTATTATCCCTGAACTTTGCTGCAGTTGAAATAGTATGAAGAATATTACCAAGCCCAACCCAGTCCATTAACTGTGCAGCCTCCAATTCGATATCTGAAATTGCAACATCCCAATCTATGAATATTGATATAGAGAACAAAGACTATATAGATGATGTTGCAAAAAAAAAAACAGCAACTAATGACATAGCTTAATAAATGACAATTTTCTTAAAGGTGGGAGATAGATAAAAGGGGTGATACATGATTCTCTTGTACACAAGACTGGAAATATCAGCGTATGGCATACATGATTCTCTACAACTTCTATCAGAATGCTGACTTTGTGCTAATGCTCTTATGATACATATTCAGTTCTGTATGCCTTTCTCCTATGCTGTAAGCTTCTGTGTTTTCTTTTGTAATAACTTGTCATCTAGAGTTTGACTATTCAAACATAATAACATACAGAAGTACCATGCCCCTCCTTTTGACCTTTTTCTGGGATCTTGTAACGCATGTTGATCTAATTTTTTAATGATCTATTGTAGGTATATCTTTGCACACTGCACATTCTGCAATTCTTGAGCTAACAGATTGGAGTAGTGTTTTCTATTCCCTTATCTACACACAGTTCCGAAAGTACCGGTTGGTACTCTAGACAAGAACTTGAGCCAAGATACTCTTCTTTACTATCCGAGAGGCCCTGTGGCAAAGTCCTCTCCTTCTCTATGTATCTTTAGTCACATACAACATGGGGAGTGTGGGAAGTTTATGGACAAATTGTGGTGGCTATACTGTTAATATTCATCTGGCCATGGACATTCGATGTTGGGTTTGGGTGCATATAACTCATCTCGCCATATGGGGCTCTATAGGTACAACGTTTGTGTGTGATGTTAATAGATTCTGCAACTATATTGCCTAACAGAGGGTAAGTTCTCACTGATTTGCTCCAATAATCCCTCTAACAGTATTTCTGCAGGATGAAGATTGAAAAATCACAAGTGCTATCCGACAATTATTATTCATAATATTCTTTTAGTGCACAAACATCAAATTCCATGATTTCCATTTTTATATTTCACATTATTCTACCAATAGCATTGTGTGATAAGTTCTCACACCTGTCGGTATGCACAAGTTGGCAAAAGGTATTCTGGTTGTAAAAGAGGCTGAAAAATACGATGAAGCGGCAGTTGCAAAGAACCAGCTGTACGGATATGCATGATAAAATAGTACTCCCTCTGTCCCAAAATATAAGAACGTTTTTCACACTACACTAGTGTCAAAAACGTTCTTATATTCTGGGACGGAGGGAGTAGAATTTACAACCAAGGAAGGATTACTGACAAATGTACCTCTGTTTTGAAAATTAACCAACTTCACTACAATAGCACCACCAACTCTTGAATGGTATATATTATGTATTGTAAGATTGCCATGATAGACTCCATTTATTCTGAGCTCTTCAATAGCCTCCACAATTTGTCTGCAATGGTATTTTAAGTTTTTAAGTTACATACTAATAATAAAAGTACACACATGTTTGAAAAAAATCAATTAAATTTACCTTATAACATCTCTAAGAGACTGTGATGGGACGGCATTACTGCCCTTCTCGGTCAGAAGCAATCTGACTAAAAACCAAGTGAGAGGTCCATCATGAGGCTCCACAACAACAGCAATGTTTTTCTGGTTCGAGAACGGCAGTTCCAATTTTTGTACAGCTTCAACTCGTAAAATATTCCGATGCCTCAGATTCATAATTGATATCTTAGGCAAATTTTCTGACTCTTTCAGATGCAGACAGACTAGAGGCCTATCCTTGGGTGCTAACTGAGCAGTTGCAGTGAGATCTGAAGGCTTATTGATTTGATAATAAGCAATGACACCACCATTACGTAATGGATTCAACTTAAACTTGTTTAACTCCCAAGGAATTAGTTTTTCATCCACAAGGGCAGGTTCCATCTGACAGAAAGAAATAGTGTGCATCAGCTAATGATGAAAGCAATGTAAACAAGGGTGATACAGTAGAACTTTCTAAGAAAAGAAGTGCAGAACCAAATATAGATTAACACAGATAATAAGGGTGATACAGTGAACTTTCTAAGAAAAGAAGTGCAGAACCCAATATAGATTAACATTGAAAATAAGGGTGAAACAGGTGAAATGATTACAACCATCTTACTAGCCAAAATTGGAACATGGGGTATAGTTACAGCAATCAGCTCCATCACAAGATCAAGACCAAAATCATCTAGTTAAGTAAGGTACACACAGCAACAAATAAACAAAATAGGATAGCCAAAAGAATTAAAAAGACCATCAGAGATGTTGCGCTCGCCTTTCTTGGAGGACTGGGTAATGAAGAATAGGATGAATCCAACCTTTCTCGCCCCAATGGTGGTCCCCAGTCCCTGCTACCACAAGGAGAATTAGGAAGAATGCGGGAATATCATTCAGGAAGCAGAATGAAGAGATGAACTCCTTTGGAAGGTTTAATACGCAGAATGTCATTACCTACGAGCAGTGGTTGCTACGTGGAGAAACTGATCTGGGAAGGGAGTGGAGAGGGCGGTGAGGAGGAGGGGTGGTGTTCTTCTCGGAGGATTCCTCAACCTCTTTGGAGGAGGGGACCTGCTTCAAAAAGCAAGAACCAACACAATTAATGTGGTTGGCGATCTTACTACCCAAAATTGACAGATGGAAACTGCTTGAATCACAAGATCAATACAGTTAGCTGGAGGCAGGCAAGGAGGCGGACTTACAGACTTCATTGCCGATGAGGGGCGCCTCCAGGTCACGCCGCAGTCAGGGCGGGGGACAGGGACATGGGCGGCGGAGGGGGGGAGGTCTATAGCGCAGCGTCGGCGGCGGTGCCGCCGCCGAGAGGGGGTAGAGAGGCAGGAAGAACCTCCTTGGAGATGGTGTCCTGCTTCCAAAGGCAGGAAGAACCGACCACAGTTAATGAGATTGAAAATTTTGCGGAAAAATGATAAAGGAGGAGTTTCTGATAATAGAAGAACAAAGCCTGACAGAGTTAATGCGATTGAAAAATTTGCGGAAAAATGATAAAGGAGAACTTTCTGATAATAGAAGAACAAAGCCCAACAGAACGACACAGAAAACAATGGTGAAACAGGCAAACAAATTATCAGGCTATCTTGCAAATCAAACAGCAAAACACGGGTAGGCAAGAAAAACTATGATTCATGTATGAAGCATGTTCAAAATGTTACAGGGTCAATCAATGTGAAAATGAATCACCTTCACAAAGCAACGCAACACAAGCTGATCCATCAACTAGTAAACAGCTCATTAATTTTCAGAAGCGGTAACATTTAACAGAATATCCAGATTCATTGCTGACAACAACTGCAGAATTATAAAAGTACTTCCAGCACAGGAAATCAACACAGTACAAATGCCAGGTCCTTCACCAATTATGTCGATCCTGATCGACTCAAAGCAAGTTCCGGCCCCTCAGATCACCTCTTGAGGTCACAGAAAGATACAAGCACAGGGATCCATAGAGATAGTCAGGAGAGAAAGAAAGTTTTACCTTCAGGAACAAGACACGTCACGAGTTTCTTTCTTCCTGCTCCTTGGGGAAGGCGAGCTGCTGCTCCTGCTGTCACTTGAGCCGCTCCTTCCTCTTGGAGGCCTGAGAGAAATGGCACTTTTTTTAGTTTTAGAAATAAGCTAGAAATTCAGTTTCAAGATCAAACATGATGCAACAGAACATAAGATGCAACAACACCGGATACAGCCGCTTACCTTCTAAGGCTGTGACTCCTTGAAACCCGTCTTGGTGCCTTTCCTAGAGGACTGGATAATGATGAACAGGATGAATCCAACCTTCCTCGCCTCAATGGTGATCCCCAGCCCCTGCTACCACAAGGAGAATTAGGAACACCGCAGGGCTATCATTCGGGAAGCTTGACGAAGAGATGAACTCCTTTGTAAGGTTGACAAGGCAGAATGGCATTACCTACGAGGAGGAACTAATCTGGGACGGCAGTGGAGAGGGCGGCGAGGAGGAGGGGTGGTGACCTTCTCGGAGGATCTCTCAACCTCTTTGGAGGAGGGGACCTGCTTCCAAAAGCAAGAAAAACACAATTAATGTGGGCTGGCGATCTTACTGCCCAAAATCGACACACGGAGGCTGCTGAATTGAAGATCAAATACAGTTAGAGGGAGGCAGACGAGGAGGAGGACTTACGGACTTACCCTTGTCGTTGCCGATGAGCGGCGCCTCCGG